AAATTAGAAAACGATCCTCTACTAATTGAACAACAATTGCATTTCCAACAAGACGGAGCTCCTCCTCACTACGCCGCACCAGTTCGCCAATACCTCAATTTACAATACCCTGGTCGTTGAATTGGAAGAAGAAGTCCTATGGAGTAGCCTGCTCGCTCTCTTGACCTGAACCCTCTGGACTTTTTCTTGTGGGAACATCTTAAGTCCAAGATTTTTGTGACTCAGTCTAAAAATTTGGACGAACTACTTCAACGAATTGTAAATGAGTGTCGTCAAATAACTCCAATTATGCTGGACCATGTTAGAGACAGTTTTCAGTCAAGATTATATTATTGTATGAAAGTCAATGGAGGACAATTTGAACATTTGATTTAAAAACGAAGTTTTGATTTTTTTGATTGTAAGCATGATAAAACAATTAATTTTTTTTAAGAATGTGATTTTTTTCACACACCGTTGTAAAGACGCTTCTAAGACCTTACAAATGAAGTATCATTCAACCCCTCTTCCCTATTCAATTTTAAGGGGTTGAAGCGATATACGTCAGAAGATGTCCCCCAAAGAAAATCATCCAACGTGTTTCGAGAAATTTTTCCAATTACTATGTGATAAGAAATATACGGGGTGGCTCGTCTGAGATGGAACACCACCCTGTATGTTTATTGTGCAATGCAACAATTTCTGTTTTAACTGTTTTAAAAGAATACAGTATGAAGCGGCATTACTCCAGCAAGCATTTTGCTGAATATTTCACTCATGGGCCCGATAAAAAAAAAGATAAAATTAAACAACTCATTACCGATTTAGGGAAACATCAACAAATGTTCCATTCACAAAAAACAAATCTAGACAGTGTTGTTAAAGCTAGTTTTATAATAAGTCCCAAAATAGCGAAAACATCGAAGTCATTTTTTGAGGGACAGTTTGTTAAAGAGTGCCTAGTAGATGTTGCAGAACTTTTGTGCCCAGAAAAGAAGAAAGAGTTTGAGAAAGTGAGCTCATCGCTACGTACTGTTGTTCGACTTATAGATATGATGGCTAGTAATATCAAAAAAACATTGACTGATACATTAGTTGGTTTTCAAGCATTTTTGATTGCTTTGGATGAGAATACAGATTTATCTGATACAGCCCAGTTAGCTATTTTTATACGAGGTGTTGATGAAGAAGTTGCAGTGACATAGGAATTACTGGCTTTACGGCCGCTACAAGGGACCACTACTGGAAAAGATATTTTTGCCGAGGTGCAATGTACTTTTGAGCAATATGGTTTGAAGTGGTGTAAATTAGTTGGAGTGCGCACGGATGGTGCACCTTCAATGGTCGGTTCACGAAAAGGTTTTATCGGAATTCTGAAGGAAAGAGCAACCGCTATGAATGTGCGAGAATGTGATTTAATAATTCTGCTTTGCATTATTCACCAACAAAACTTGTGCTCTAAGTCCATTCGATTGAAGATTGTTATGGATGTGGTAGTAAATACCATTAATTTTATTAGATCCGGCGGTCTTAACCATCGCCGATTTAAAGCATTTTTGGATGAGCTTTCTTTAGAACACGATGATGTGACATATTGCAAAGTAAGGTGGCTAAGCAAAGGTAAAATGCTAAAAAGATTTTACCACCTTAGAAAAGAAATAGCTGATTTTATGAAAATGAAAGAGAAAACATTGACGCAAATTTGTGATCCAACTGGCTTTGTGACTTGGCATTCAAGCTTCAAAAATAAGAGCAATTGGTAAATCAGCTGTACAGTTATCATCTTACAGCTTTTCAAAACAAAATTCGCTTGTGAGAAATACAAATGAGAAGTAAAAACTGTTTTAATTTTTCAACATTATCCAGTCACGAAAACATTGAATATGGTCGTTAGCTGAAGAATTGAAACTACTGTCCGAGCAATTTACTGATCGATTTTCTGATTTTAAGAATATGGATAGCACTTTCAATATTTTTGCAAATCTTTGTAAGTGTAATGTAGAAGATGCTCCGCTTCACCTAAAAATGGAGTTGATCAAGCTTCAAGAAGACTCATATTTGACGTCTAAATTTGATGATGTGGAACTAAGCGAATTTTACAGAATATACGTTTCCAATGAAAAGTATCTACAGCTGAGAGTTTTCTCACGAAAAATAATTTGCACATTTGGAAGCTCGTATAAATATGAGCAGCTTTTTCAATCAAGAAAATTAATAAAAATATAAGGAGTTTTCTCGCCTCAGAGAAAACGATTACTTACAAATGACGCCTGTTGACGGGACGTCTCTCGGGCGCCAGATTTTATGTGTGGTTTCGAAACGGCGTCGAAAGTACTCGGGCAGCACAGATGGAGATGAAAAATTCCAGGGGTCGTTGGTCACTCAGACACAGGTAATAAGTAACCACAAGTAACGGGCTTTAATCGTTACTTGTGGTGATAAAGAATTTCTCACTGCTGAAATAAAGGGGGAAGTAAATAAGGGATCAGTAACCTCAGTAATAGTCAAGGTAACGTTGACACATATATTGAATTTACTATTTACAATAAATAATTTGCAAGTAATATTTCAACGCCCACCCTCGCTCGTATTTTTAAAACCCTGAACAAAAAGAAAAACAAACAGATCGGCCAGTAGTGAACTTTGATTAGTCTCAATCATACGGTATAATTAAAATTAAAAGGAAGATGCTCGGTGGCAATAGTAACTAATTAATAAATTATCGGTTCGGTGGTTGAGCCAAAACGAAACCAAAAACAAAATTACTATTTCAGTTAAAGAAGAAAAATGGCAAATAATTGCGGTCGTAGCAAAAGTTAGCTAGTTAACTGTTAAATCGGCAAAAAGGTTGAACCTAAATATTTTGTTTCGTAAAAGCAGAAATAAAATCACGGTCGTAGAAAAAGTTATCTGGTTAACTATCTAGTCGGTATTGAAACTGAAACAAACCTCCTTGTGTTAGTGAATAGGGAATAGATAAATGATAATAAAACGGGATAGTATCAATCCTATGAGTGCACTCGTCAGAACCAGCCCGCTCAACATAAAAATGATACTATCATTTTAATCACGGCGCGGAGGTAACTAAAAAAAAATAATCAAAAACCGGGTTAGTATTTAATCCTATGATGAGTGTACTCGCCAAAACCAGCCCGCTCAAACATAAAACAAAATATTAAACCGGGTCAGTATTTATCCTATGATGAGTGTACTCGCCAAAACCAGCCCGCTCAAACATAAAACAAAATATTAAACCGGGTCAGTATTTATCCTATGATGAGTGTACTCGCCAAAACCAGCCCTCTCAAACATAAGAAAAACACTAATATGTTAATCACGGCTAGGGGTTAATCTAAAAAAAATCTAAAACCGGGATAGTATCTAATCCCATGTGAGCTTTCTCGCCAAAACCAGTCCCCTCAACATGAAAAATGATACTATTTCAACTTTCCAACTTTCGAACTAATTCTATTCCCAAGTAAAGAAACATAAATGGAAAAAAAAGTTAAACCAGATTGTGAATAAATAGAAACAAAATTTATGGTCGTAGTAAAAGTTAAGTAAATAACTATATACGGAATTTAATTTAAATTTAAATTTATTATTACTTAAAAATAGAAACAACATCCCACGGTCGCAATGAAAATTAAGTAATTAACTGTATACGGAATTTAATTTGAAATTAGGTTTACTATTACTCTAAAATAGAAACACAATCCACGGTCGCAATAAAAATTAAGTAATTAATAAAATAGAAACAAAATTTCTACTTCCTAATAACCAAAACTAATTTCCAATGTTTCTAAATAAAAACAAAACTAAATAATTTATCAGAAAATCAAAATATTTTTAACGAAAATCTAAAGTCAATTATTATTTCTATTAAATAAAATCGAAAACGGAATAATTTAATCAAATAAAACTGGTATTCGAACGTTTAGCTCAAGAACCGACGACAGAAAAAAAACAAAAACATGAATTCGGTGTACCTAACTACGGTTTCGGCAATGAATTACGGCGTATAACGAAGCAAACTTAACGAGGTCGGAAAAATGAAATCAAGCTAGTCGAGATCGGTAAAGTGAATGCCTTTAATACTGAATGCTGAATCCGAGTCTCTATGCCCAAGCAGGCTGGCTCCCCACTCGGTGTGCGCGGATCGCGCGCGCTATCGTTACTCAGGTATAATACGCGAATTTAAATGAAACAAAATTTGATATAAAGGGTCTACCCATGAAGTTAAAATAAAATAAAAATTGAAATTTATATCCGGAATAGGCCGAAATATAGTAATGAAAATTGACTTCATTACAAAAATAAGCATCGTACTCAGCTTACAGATGTTAATTTAGAAAACACTTTGCGCCTATGTACTATTGATATTGACACCAATATTGATCATCTTGTTTCTCAGCTTCAAACTCAATCTCTCATTAATTTTCATTTGATTTTTTTATTAACTTGCTTTTTATATATTTGATTGAGCATAATCATTATGCTATTATAATTATTAAATAAAAAAATGTGTGAATTATTTCTTGCCTACGGCCCGCGACCTAATTAAGTCCCGAAATTACGTCCTCAGCTAAGCAAAGGTTGTCCATACCTGTTATATACCATCATACAAATGCACCAAGTATGATTATCAGCTCTTAGACACATGATGTATGATATCGATTATTAATTAACTAAAAGTATAGAACATTCTTGTATTGTGAGTGATAATAAAAAGTCAGACTTTAACGACATAAAATTAGTAGTAAAATTTCAGGATTTTAATGTTTGAAGAAAAAATACATTTTCGTATGGCACGCTATATTTTAGACCTTCCTCAGTTTTGCTAGAGTAACTAACTAGAATAGTCTAACAGAAATTTATTCTTTGTTATATCAATTATTATACTTCTTGTAATGTGGTTTTTGCATGCAAAATCGCTTTTGGTACCCGTGCTTCTAGATCCTTGTGGCGCTTTTGCGTTTATGATTTTTACTGAATATTTTCATTTAATTTTCGTGTTTTAGGTTGCTTCCAGTGAAAGAAAATTTTCTCTGCAGACAGGTATTTAAGGTAAGCAATTTTTACTGACGTTCCGTAATCTTAAAATAATGAAGCATGAACATTTTTTACTCGAAACAAAAAAAAAACAAATCTCGTTTGATATATTTTTCTTTTTCATTACTAAAGTATCAGAATATTTGCAGTTTTTTGTTTGGAATAATTGTAAAACATCTAATTTAGCAGGATAGCAAGTTAATAAATTATTACTGTTAAACACATAATTTAAGTTTTTATATTTTTTGTCATGAAAAAAATAATAAACACACATTACGAGTTACACATTGTATGGAACACAATGTAGTTTGTGAAGTCTTTACTCACGTATTGTTTCTAATCTATCGCTAGGTATCTTTACATCTATTGCACCTTTTCATTATAAAAAAAAAGAAAATCATAAATAAACTGTGCTTAAAGTGGACGAAGCATCAGTTATAAAAAAAATAAAACAATTCGATTGTAATTGAAAATTTCTCAGATACAGAAAGACACACAATTATGTGTGTTCTCTGCCTGTTGGCAACAGTGTCGTCCTTCAGTAAGGAGAGTCATCTAACGAAACTATTGTTTGAACAAGTTTTTATTTAAAATAAAATAAATATTATACAAAATTTTTCTTGTTTTTTCCTAATTTTTAATTTAGTCCTTTTTGGAACACGTCACTATCCCAGTTATCAACTTGAAAACTGTAAACCATATTGGATTATTATGAAAACAATGAATTTAATTAAAAAACTTGAAAATAATAGGAAACAATGAAATAACAGCCGAATATTTTAAATTTGAGGGAACAGGTCTAAAGAAAACGAATTTATTATTAAATAAATCTGGAGAAGTGGGAAGATGCCCAAGAACTGGGAAAAACTAGTTTTCACTCGCTGGTAAAAAATAGTTATTTTTGTATCTAGTGCGCGAAATGCTACTTTGGTGATCGAGAACTGATTTCGAGATTACCAAAGTATTTCGCGCACGAGTTACAAACAAAATTTTTTCTACAAACGTCAAAAAATGTATATCTCTTAAATTAGTAATATGCTCAGCTTAATAAAAAAAATGGTGTGGAATTGGCTTAAATAGTTTTTCCGATGGTCGTTTGATTTGAAACTCGATCGAGCGAGCATCGAGTAGACCGAGAAGTGATGACGTCACAATAGAACATTGAATCAAATCAAATGAAACAGGGTAAAAAATCTAACCTCACTTTAATTTTTGTGATTCTTGTCTCTCAATATAGTAAGCAAAAGTGAAGAAAATGGAAAAACCTTTAATAGTAAGGGACAGTGGCCTCAGACTCCATTACTGTAATTACTGGTGATTAGATCTGAGCAGTGCAAATTGTATTTTACAAACACATTTTATTTTTTTATGATAAATAATTTTAGCTATTAGACGAAAGCGCATAAATAATTTGTTGACTTTTGATATTCAAGCTTATTTGTAGGTTAATTAAAAAAAGATAGGTAGAGACAAAGACAAATTTCTCCGTCTTCTCGATCATTCTGTTGTGAGAACGTCGAGCTCGCTCTGTGTTCTCGCTCCAAAGCGAAACAAACACTTTTGGGATCGTTCGGAGTGTCAATTCAAACACGTATGCGGCGCTCGGAGATCTCCGATAATCAAATCAAACGCACCACAAATCAAGTAGTTACTGTAACTATGGAAATAAAATGACAATTATTTTAAAGTGACAGTTGTTGACAATTTGCTCGCGTCAGTTTTCTAGTGCCTGATATTTTCAACTGTAAAAGAACTAAGCAATACTCCACCTAATTTGATAGATGAGGCTAATTCGGTAATTACAAATCTTGAAATTTATTTGATGTTTAAGGTAGATTTTTAATGATTGTTTTATGTGTTTTTTAAATTATTAAAAAATATCGTCATTGGTTTCCTTTTAGTGTTTTAATACTGGGTATTTCTTGTTGACTCACTAAAATGATGGTCGATGACATAGAAGATAAAAATTCCATTTTGATTGTTAAAGTACCCGATAAAGAAACGAATATACAACGAATTTTTACAGTTTCAAATTTAGATTATATTGACATTTACCGAAAATATGCGGCACTTCGTCCAAGTCATGCTACCAGTCGCCGATTCTTTTTGAAGTATAAAAATAAGAGATGCTCTAACCAAGTTGTTGGAATAAATTGTATTGGAAGAATGCCTAGCTTGATTGCAAAACACCAAAAATTACCTAATTCTAATGTCTACACTGGTCATTGTTATCGGAGAACTTCATACACTTCTTGCTAATGCGGGGGGTGATATATGTGTTTTGAAGCGACATGGAGGATGGAAATCTTCGACCGTGGCCGAAGGATACGTGGAGGATTCTATCAATAATAAAGTTTAAATATCAAATAAAATTTTAGACTGTGAAATTTCAGGAGCAAGTGCAGTAGAGATGGGCAGCCTCCAAGTCAAAAATAGTTAGATAGTCTTCCAACCCCCAACTACAATATCAGGAGCTCAATCTGAATTGTCAGGTTTAGGAATAAATATTGGTGCATGTACTGGCTGCACCATTAATGTTAATATTGTAAATAATAAATAAAATTAGGTAGTCTAAAATTTTGTCACAATTTGAAAAGTGATAAAAAGCCTTAATTATTGTTAAACAAATAATAAATTATTTCTTGGATTTTTGCTTGATTGAGGACCATAAAGGTTAAAATACAAAATTCTCATATAGATTACATGTATTTCGCACACTATTTCGCGCACGGTGTCGTGGAAACGTAGGAAAATTAAAAAAAGGGGTCATTTCGCATATTGTTATAAATGCGTGAACCTTGTCATTTTTTGACGTTTGCAAAAAATCAAAAATGTTATAAAGTACAATAATATATAAATTGAATAGCTTCTGGAACAGTGTGGTTGGAACAACTTGAATTGTCTGATCCAGTGCCTGTCTTAATCAAAACTTATTTCATCAATAAATTTTCTAGACATTTTTGATCTAGAAAAATAAAATTAACATTAGTGTAACGATAGTCTAATTTATTTATAGTTTATTTATTTAAAACACACTATTTACAATTTATTTCAGACGTACCATTTAATTTAAATAATACTTAGACACTAACTAACAATTCTAATTTATTTATTTCACTTTAACTTTTCATTACAATGCTCTATACTAAAATGTCTATAATCAACTGACTGCCGTCTTCAAACTCGCGATATTTATATCAAGCCAACTCTGTAACCAGAATACTCTAGACGGTCCCGAAAATTCCATCTCTGACTCGACAGCACTCTCCGCCCATTCAAGCCGTTTCTAGTGCGTCAGCAGCATTCCTGAAAGCTCTGTCGCCTCGAGCATGAATTGGGTGCCAGCTGAAAGTCGTGCTTGCTTTAGACACAGGGTCGGATTAGAAATTTCATGACATTAGTAATTTTGTTAATCTATATGCAAAATATATTTTTCTAGACTGTGACTTTCACTACACTAAGTAGGAGGTAGAATAGTCCCTAATAATTTAATATGCTAAAGACCTTTTAATATTAGAAATTAAATAACAATCTTTTGTAATTTGTATAAAATTATATTTACTGCAGCGCTTTGCGGCTTTCTCCATTCTCGATGCTAATTTTCAGAATACAAGAAACTTTTTGAAAACATGTTATGTTCATAAAATGTTTTATTTCCAAGACTTATTTTAATTTGTTAAGGAAGATACATTGCATTACCTTTTTATTTCATTACTAATTTTAAAACGTAAGAATAATTTCTATTAGGTATTACATAATATTATTATGGTGGTTTTGGTAACTCAATTTATTTCAACTCAACTTTTACAATTCAACTATACAACTAATAACATGATAGTATAACATCTATCGTAAAACTGAAACTGTGACGTCAGTATCATCGACTTCAGTTTCAACCTTCTAGAACCTTCTCGAACCGTCCAGATGTTTCTTGGCACGGAATTACAGAATGGTACCAACTTCGACTTTTGTTTACTTATCTAATAAATGACTTGAAACTTCTTTAAATGTATATTTAAAAGATTTGGAGTGAGGGTAGCCATATGTGAGTAGTAGGGATTAAGTATAAGGGGTTAAAGAAAAGGTCCTTTATTTCTCACAAGTCAATTTTAATTGGCGACCGGTTTCGAAGCTATTACTTCATCATCAGGCACACCTAAATGGAATGTCAAGGAGTCAGTTGTAATAAAAACAATTATAAAAGTATGAACGGACATTGGGGTCTATTCTGTAACAATTCCTTTATATTTAACGGCCTTTAAAAATATGTTTGTATTCGTTAATTTACTTCTGTCATTATTTAAACAGATTTCTTTAAGATAGTCCTCTAATGTATTTTAAAGATCCGTTTAAATAATGACGGAAGTAAAGAAGAAAATATTTTTAAAGGCCGTTAAATATAAAGGAATTGTTACAGAATAGACCCCAATAACATATATAAAATAACAGAAAAAAACACAAAAGAAAATTAAACAATGACCTTGACTCACCTTGACTATTTCCATAAAGGAAGTGCTACATAAAGTTTAACAAACGAGTTAAAAAAGTCATGTAATACCTACAATACTATTTTTTTTTAGGTTAGGTTAAACCGCGAGATGTCTGATTGAATAAATTAATAATTAAAACACATGTAAGACAATTTTCAACTAAACAACACAAAATAGTTTTTACAAGTACAAACAGTTAAAAAAATTTAAAGAATATAACGTTAATTACAAATAAAAAGTAAAAATGAGATTATCAGATTCCCATGACATCTATCTAGATTTTAACGAATTAGTGCAGTAAACTGTAAATTTTAAATTTAGCGGATAAATAGTGTACTAAAAAAGGTGTTATTTACTGAAAGTGAGTATAGGTGGCTTTCCTGGGACTTAATTTCTCTCATGAAGATTTGGATAGGAGTTTTATAGCTTCATATTCCTGGGCTGCAATCAGTTTCTCCCTTAGCGTCTTGTGTTGTTGTAGATGGAGAAGTTGCTGCATTTCCATATCTTGTAGTCCATCAATGA